TCCTCCTCCTTCTTCTCTCTCTCTCTTTCTTTTTTTTGCAAAAAGGAAATTTTGCTTGATTCTTTAGATTCTCTTTCTAGAATTAAAATCTCACTCACCTGCTAACTACGGTGTCCTGCTCTTTCTTCTTTCTCTGTGTTTGCTGTTGGTGTTATTATTTACTTATACAACACATCCTGACCACAGTTCCCCTCTCTACACTTCTCCTAGTTACTCCCTCTCTCCTCAAACCCCCAGATCCACTTCTGTTTCCATCAAGAAAAGAGTAGACTTCCTAGGGATATCAACCAAGCACAGCACAAGTTACGTTAAGACCAAGCACAAACCCTCATATCAGGGCTGAGAAGGAAGCCCAGTGATGGACAGGGTTCCCAAGAGAAGGCAAAAGAGTCAGGGACACCCTGGCTCCCATTGTTAGGAGTCCCACATAAAGACCAACAACCATAGCATATTTGCAGATAATTTATCATAGACCCATGCAGGCTCTGTGACTGCCACTTCAGTCTCTGTGAGCCCCTATGAGCCCTGCTTAGTTGATTCTGTGGGCTGTGTTCTGCTAGGGTCCTCAACCCCTCTGGTTTCTACAATTCTTCCTCCCCTTCTTCCTTGGGGTTCCCCAAGCTCCAAGAAGAGAGACCCGATGGAGATCTCCAATTTGGCCTCTCCACCTAACATTTTGCTGTGGGTCTCTGAGTCTGCTCCCATCAGCTGCCAGAGGAAGCCTCTCTGATGAAGATTGGGCTAGGCACTGATCTGAGTATAGCAGAATATCACAAGGAATCACATTATTGATTTCTTTTTCCTAACTTAGGTCTCTGAACTATGCAGCTTCCTTCTCCAAGTCATAAAGCCGGTGTTGGGCATTGGCTTCCCTTTCGTGGCCTGTATTTCAACTTAGACTAGTCATTCACTGATTGGCCACTCCCACAAGTTCTGCACCTCTATGGCCCCAGCACATCTTGCAGGCAGGATAGATTGCACATCAAAGGGTTTGTGTCTGGGGAATCCTGCTTCCCAGGCTTCATCCTAACTTTCCTGTAAACTCAAAAATGGGAAGGGCTTGGTCTATCTATATCTGTGACTGTTACATCCTCAGTACTTACAGCTGCCTGATCCACAGGAGATGCTCGAACAGTTGTTAGATGTATGTGTGATGAATGAATGACTGGCACATTCCGCCACAGACAAAAATGAATCAAAAGCTACAGAAAACAAACAGCTGAGAAAACAAGCTGCACCCTAAAAGGCCCCACCACCACACTGCACTCAGCACTCAGCACACACTCGGCATACCCAGACTACACTAAATGGCCTATGGGAGAAGGGAGCTAACACCTGGGGACATCGACGACGATGGCTAACTCTCTGACTCTTAGAGATTCAAGACAGACTGCTACAAACTAACTACAAGAAAAATCACTTTTCTTTCCTAATAAATGCTTTACGTTTGTTTCTCTTTACAATGAGAACTGCATAGGGAATGCCTGTGCTGTGAACAAGTGCTTAGAGAAGCCGTCTTTGTACACATAGGGCAGCTGGCAGTGAGCCCAGAGCACGACCTCATGGTCACGAACACTTGGGTGGTGTCATTTAACAAAGAACGACTTTCTCAGCTTTAAAGTCAAAGGGGATCCCATACAGGCAAATGCTTGCAAACACCATGTCTTAATATATTATTCTCCATTTATCTTAAAGGGGATAAATGAAAGAAAGTATTTGCTCTAAACATTATGAAATTATAATTTTCATTTAGTGGATAATTTCTTCTAGGATTCTGAGAGTTCTAGTATGTAACATAAGGTAAAATGTAAATGTTATATTCACCAATTCATACAATAGTCTCTGTGTGAGAGAGAATGCTCCAAAAACTGAGAATGAAGTGGGAACCATAGTCTCTGCCTTTATGAAACTTAATTATAAATGATGTTTTTAAAATGTGGAATTTCAGATAAATGGTGTACCTTTAGAAGTGATGGCACCATATTGGGACAGTTAAATTTCTGTGAGCCCTCTCAAACCTTCCACCAAAAACTTTCACTGACACCCTGTCTTTCCTCAGATAAATGTCTTCTTTCATTCAGGCATTTAAACCATGTCACAAAGTACAACCACTTTACAAAGAAAAGCTACTAACATGTTCAGAAGCCCCCACTTCTCTGTGGAGCATCTTCTCCAGTCCCCT